GGTAAAAAAAAAAGAAGAAATCATGATTCCAGTAGTGAGGAAGAGAATGAAGAAGATAGCGAAGAAGAAAGAAAGAAGAGAAGAAAAAAGAAGAAAGAAAGATTAAAAAAATTAATGGAAAAGAAAAAACAACAAAGAAAGAGAAGAAAAGCAAAAAAATCTGATAATGAAGAAGGTGAAGAAAGTGATAATGAATCTGGAGAAGAAAAAGTTTTCAAAACGAAAAGAGGTAGAAAAAGAAAAGCATTCAATAAAATCCTTGATCAACACTCAGAAGAAGAGAAGGAAGAGGAAGAAGAAGAAAATTCTGACGATAATGATGATTCTAGTTACGAAACTGATTCAAGCGAAGAATATTTAGAAAATTTGGTTTGCAGTTTTTGTAATACTGGTAAGGATGAGGATAAGATCCTTTTATGTGATTCTGAAAACTGTTCAAGGGGTTATCACATGTATTGCCTTCGTTATCCAATAACCTCAGTTCCTCAGGGTGATTGGACTTGTGACTTTTGTGAATATGGTAAAGAAGAAGATAGTGATGAAGAGGGTCAAATAAATGACAATAAAAATAATAATAATAATGGTAATAATAATAATAGTGAAAAAGCTAAACTTACATCATCACAATCATTAATTGAAATCCCACCAATACCTAAAAAAGATAATTTAAGTAATATTAATAACATTAATATTAATAGTAAAATTATAAAAAAACCAATTTCACCACCAAAATCAAAATCTCCTCCAACAACAACTACAACAACAACTATACAAAATATTACAAAATCACCACCAACAGGCACAAATAAAAACTCACCACCATTAAAACCAATGGTACCAGATTTAAAGAATAAAATTCTTCAACCTACTTCACCATTACAACAAACAAAGAATAACTCATCAACATTACAAAAGAAACCAACATTTTAAACGATAAAAACAAAATGGGAAAAAGAAAGAGGATTTCGAATCATCAGCTAGTCATTCTATTTTAGATATGATTCCACCAACAAATAAAATTTTCAATAGTTCAAATAATACTTCAATTTCATGGGATTTAAGTGGTAGTTTAAATAAATCTAATAAGTCAACATTACAACCCTTATTTCGACAATTCATTTACTACTACAAATACGAGTTTGATCTTCGATGTACTTCATCATAATCTATTCAAAAAACAAAAATATTTAAAAAAATAACAAATTTTTTCAATTACTACATTCGCATGATTAAGAAACAATAAATCTGCCAATTTCAACAACAACAACCTTTCCAACTTTTTTTAACAACAGCCACAACAACAACAACAACAACAACAACAACAACAACAACAACAACAACAACAACAACAACAACAACAACAACAACCACAACAATTACAAAAACAGAAACAACAAAAACAAGAATTAAAACCCCCCAAAGCAAAACCAGTTTCATCACCAAAATCACCAACTATATTAAAACAATGGAAAGGAAAAATTAAATTTGAAAATATATTTATTTGTCAGTGCAAAATTATACAATTAGGTGGAATAGATTTCAAGATTGATCCATTTAAATCAAGTAATAGTAATGCTTTATTGGAATTATGTTTTAATTATATCAGTTTTTTAGATCTCCCAAAAGATGTTAAAGAAGAGTTTGCCCATTCAACTTATGAAATACCAACCAATTCAAATTTAATACCAAATTCAGCAGTTTTAATTTTTCAACCAGAAATTTTAAATCATTCTTCATTTTATAATTTAATTTTAAAGCTTTTAAATAACAAACTAGTTGGTGTTATGAATTTACCAGACCAAAATTTTATACTTTACATTTACCCATACCAAACATCAATTATAAATATAGAACTGGTTGGAATCATTTATTTTAAAAAATCAATTACTTTACCATCACAAAAATCAAATTTGAGCTCACCATCAATTAGCCTTAATAATAATATAACTAGTTGGGAAAATAAAAATATTTGCTTTATAAATAATAATAATCAACAACAACAACAACAATTACAACAAACTGAAAAATCGATAATGAATCTTGGTGGAAATTTTTTTATATTTGATGATATAAATAAAATTCCCATTCAAAACTTTGATATAATAATAATAGATCAATCAAATATAAATAATTTTACAAACAATGATATTAATAACTTTTTAAATAAATTTATAAATTATCAACAACTGGAACAACAAGAACATCAACAAGATCAAGACCAAAAAAAAGAATTACCAATTTTTATTAAAGATAAAGGATTTACACAGTGGTTAGTTAATCAAAAACAATTTCCAAGTAGTATAGAAATTCAAAACAAATTTAATCAACAAATTTTATTTAATCAATGTCATAGTATTATTTTATTAGATAATAATTCTATGATTGAAAACGAGTCATCGCTCGCTTTTCAAGAAATGATGTCTTTATTAGCAAAAATAAGGAATACTGGGGTTTACAATTGGATTGTACAAATTTCAGATTCTATTTTTGAAGAATTATCACCTTTTAATAATCAAACAAATGTTAAAAAGAAAATTAATGATATCAAACATTATATCAATCAAAACTTAATTTCAACTCAAAATTTTTCGCCAAATATTCCCCGACAATCAAATGAATTTTTATTGTTGGCTTTAAGAATAGCAAGTTCAAAAAAATATAAACAAGTCATTTTAGTTTCTCAAAACAAAATAATTCAAAAAGAATCAACAAAATATTATCAATTAAAATGTTTATCTTTAGAAGGTTCAATAGATTTTTTAAGAAACTATTATAACAATATTTTAATAAATAAAAATTAATTTTTCTTTGTTTGAAAGTAAAATAAAGCGTATTCGTGACATAACCTTGAATTTATGTACACCGTTTTGAGGTATTGTGGAATCGTAATCAATCAATATAAAGACAATGGCGATTCGATACCGCTACAAAAAAGTTTAATTTTTAAAGGCACTCACCAGGGGTGATAATAACGCATTTAAAAATTAAAAAAAAAAATAATAAAATTTATTTATTTAATTATTTAATTATATTTATTAAAAAATTTAAAACAACCTTTCAATTCTCTAACACATTCATCTAATGGCATTTTATCTTTATATTGGGAGCATTTCTCTATGATCGGTGTGATATAAATGGTATCATTTTCTGGTATCCATGTGCATAATTGTTTTGTTTCAACATCTAAGAAAAGTGTTGCACAACTAGCGAAATCGTCACGGAGTGTAGTGGTTGGACTCCACTTTGCTTGCTTGAGACACGCTAAATTTACGGCATCACAATCGAAAGTTTTATCTTGAAGGGGGTGCTGAGGAAGCTGCTACAAATAATAATAATAATACAAATAATTTGAATTGATATTGCATGATATTTAATAAAAATAAAAAGAATAATAAAGAAAAAATTTATTTATATAATTTTTTTTTTAAAAAAAAAAATTTTAATTTTTTTTAAAAAAATATATTTTCAATTTGTTTTAATTTTCTCTGATATTAGGGACAAAATCGAGATCCACAATGTTACGTCGATTGTTAGAAAAATAAACAAATAATTCAGCAGCACTACTGACACCATCAATAGAATAGTTTTCCTTAAGAATGACGAATGGTTGATGTCATAAGCAAAGTATTCATCTAAAATTTTTTTTTTTTTTTAATATTAAATATTTAAAATGAATAAACTTTATTTATTTTAAAATTTTTATTATGATATATAAAATTATAAATTATTATTAATATTATTATTATTATTATTATTATTATTATTATTATTATTATTATTATTATTATTAATATTATTATTATTTATTTGTATTTGTTATTTTATTTATTTTTAACATTTTTCTTCTTTTTCTTTATTATTTTTAAAAGTTGTTAAATTATATAAAACATTTGGTTGTCTAAATACTTGAATTAATTCGTGGTATAATTCTTCTTCTAAAATTAAATCGCCATATTCTCTTGCAATGAAAACATCATCAATCATTTTTAATATTTCATCACAATTATCTAAATTTTCAAATTCTATTCTTAAAGATAAACCGGTAACATAAAGACGAAGGAAACGACCTACAGAAAGGACAACCGATACATAAAGACCTATAATACCGGCTGATACTAAACTACTTGTTATACCATTTGGTAGTTTTGAGGAAATTGTATAGAATTGTAATGGCACACCATTTAATTGAGTAACTTGCCAATAATATTGAGGTGGAGTTGAGTTGGTAGTATTCATCGTAAACAAAACATCGATCATATTTGTTGATGGATATATTAATGACCCTGAAACACCTGGTAATTTAAGGAATTGATAAAAGAGACCTGTTACATTAAAAGAGTTGTTTTCAGATGTTCCATTTATTACTTTGAAGAGATCTAGTTGCTGTGATAATGTGAGTTGAACACTATTCGAACCTGGAATATCAACATTAACATTACCACTTCTTGTTAAAGTATACTGGGTTTGAATTGATAAGGTTGTATTGAATTGTAAAAATTGGATTAGTTGATCTTTAGATGGTGGGGAAAGATTCCAATAATCTTCAGAGAAAGTATTGACACTAATATTTTGAACACCAGGCTTATCATCAGGAGTAAGGAAATTATATGATCTACGTAGATCATCAAACTGTGATGAGTTTAAATATGTTGCAGAGATACCACTAACACCATTGGAATTTTCTAAACTGAGATCCTGATTGATTACAAGGAAAGGATTCCAACCCATAATTGAAACATCGATATTAACATTGGTTACAGGCTCGATATTTGAACCTGGTAAACCAGAGCTTAAAATGATTAATGGGAACCAAAGAATTAAAACTAAACCAACGAAAAAGGTTACACCAGTAATGAACTTTTCCAATTTCGGTTGTTTATGACCTTTCTTTCTACCTTGACGTTTTATCCATTCGAGACGGCATTTGACAGAGAAAATAGATGAATAAAGATCTTCAAATTTTAACCAGTCATAGAATAATAGGGTAGTGTCAGTGGCAATCCAATCTAACAATGTTCTTAATTCGTATACAAATGGAATTGCTTTGTATACTGTATAACCAATATTATGGAAATCTGAGAAGCCGTCCATTAAGAATCTGTTTTGAGAGATAATTGGATAACCATAGCAAATTTGAAGAGCAGAGTAATAAAGGTAGATACATTTTAAGATATAGAATACTACTAAACTCCAGGCATAAGAGAAATCGAATGGAGCACCTAATAATTCTTTTGGGAAATAAAAGAATAAAAAGACATGATAAAGAATGGTCAAGATAATTTGAAGAATAAACTTGGCTTTAATTGATTTATAAAGATAAATAATACGGTCTAATATGATTATACCAAACTGAGTTAATAATATAATAATATATTGTCTTGGAATAACATTTTGCTCAAGGAATTGAGTGATATCGGAGGATGGAATAGCTGTAAAGTTTTGTGGGAAAATTACTAAAAAGAGTAAACAAGCAAAATCTGAAAAGAAAAGTGGCATATAATAATCTCTACCTGGTTTTTCTTCTGTTCTAGTAACTAACCAAATATATTCAATAAAAGATATTATAAACCATTTAAATGGTTTTAATATTGTTGAAAATATTGAACTCTTTTTGGATTCTTCATCTTCATGTAAAATTTCATCTTCATTTAAAATTTCATCTTCATCTTGATATTCGATAAAAGCTTGATCATTTGAATCCAATATTATATTATTTGGTGACTCTTCAATATCAACTAAAATTTCTTTTGATGAAAGCACCAATGGTGAATTAACATTATCATTATTATTATTATTATTATTATTATTATTATTATTATTATTATTATTATTATTATTATTATTATTATTATTATTATTATTATTATTATTATTATTATTATTATTATTTAAAGAATTATTTAAATTATTATTATTAATTGAATTATTTAAAACATTTGAGTTTAGTGAGTTATTTAAAACATTATTATTATTATTATTTTTAAATAAATTAATTGGTTCTTGATCAATATAAAAATCTTTTTCTTGGAAATTCCAAAGACCTTTTGATCTATAAACGTGTCTGTGCCATAAAGAACCTAATAAAATTGCTAAATCCCAAAATGCACCAGTAATAAAATGACCATTGATAAGATAGAGACCAATTAAATGTGGGGTTGTTAATAGAACTTGAGCTTCAGGTTCGTTGGCAGGGCATTGCCAGCATGTTGGTTCAATAATAGAAGGAGCAGTGGTTGATATGAAATCGAGATGATGCGAGTCATCTGGTGCATTATTATTTTCATTTTGGCTTGAACAATCACAAAAAGGAATTTGATATATATATTTGATACAAATAATAAAACTACTGTATCCAATCATAAATCTCCAGAAATTTTTCGATGGTCTTGGGCTTTCAAATAATCTACCATAAAGGAATACAGCCAATAAATATACTAGAGATATTATACTAGAGTAAAATACACCATTGGCAATACAAAACATAAAGGCTATCCATTTACTTTCATCTCTGGCAATTCTAGAAATACCTCTAATAATTCTTTTGAATGTATCATTCTTTTCTCTGTAGAGATAGGTTTCTTCTGCAGGGTGTTGAATTTTATCAAATTCGATTTCTAATTCTTTTTGATGTTTTTCAATTTGCTTTTGCTTTTCTTCTAATAATCTTTTTTGTCTAATTTGTTCCATATGTAATAGAGCCACTCTCATTTCTTCTGAATCAATAAAAACACTATTTCTATAATCCCCAGGTGCCTGTTTTAACGAAACTTCAATCTCGTCTTCGCTTTGTTCTAACCCATGTTCTTTTTCTTGCTGTTGTGATTGATCCCCAAATTCCTCTTGTTGTTTTTCTTCTTTTATCTTTTGATCTCTTTCTTGTTGTTTCTTTAAATTTTCTAATAAATATTCTGGTAATGGATCTAACCAATCTAAAAATTTATTAAAATATTTTTTGAAAATTGATTCTTTCTTATCTTTTTGATTTTCTTCATCTTTATTATTTTCGCTACTATTTGAAATTAAATCATCATTATTTTCATTATCATTATTTTCATTATCATTATTTTCATTATTATTATTATTATTATTATTTAATAAATCCTCAATTTCTCTACGATTATCTTCATTATCTTGTTCATTTGGATCTTCTTTTGGTAAAAATGAGCTATCTCCTAATGACAATGGTTCATTTTTATTACCATTGTTAACTAATCTATTAATTCTTTTTACTTTTAAGTGTTGAAGTCTTTGTCTTCTTTGGTCTATTTTATTTTGAATTGAATTTAATTGTTCTATTCTTGCAGTTCTTCTATTTTTGTAAAATTCACGAGCATTTTCATAATTTAGATCTCTTTTATTTTTTAAATGATCTTCTAATATTTGGAAATCTTGACTAAAGTAAACCATTTTTTGATAAGCTAAAAGTACTAAAATAATTACATCACTAATTGTAGAGACTGAGAGATTTGAAGTTTCTATTTCAAAACCAAAAATTTTAGCAATACGATAACCTTCTTCTGGTAAATAATCATTATTTGAATCGTAACTACCACTACCACTTCCACTTCCACTACTACTACTACCAAAGCTGTCACTACTTGAACCAAACATTGTATCTCTATTTGTAATAAATTCGTGACGATAAACTACAACAATTTGGAATAAAACCTGTGCTAATAAGACTAACCAATTGTAAATCATTAATGATTTCCAAAGATAACTCCATTTTCTTGAGTGTGCATTACCACTAAATAAAACATAGACAGAAAAGAGAACATAGAAACAAGACAAAATATCACATTCGGCGGTACCAGCTAAAAATATGACAATTAAAATTACTTGAGAACTATATCTGATGATCATATAACGAAGTTCATTGTACCAAGCTCTAGGTTCTTTTGTAAAGTTATCCAACTCGCTAAACTTGAAGAAATTTTTTGGATATAAGGGTTTGAAATTTTCGTTTGGTCCATTTGGATTGTTGATTTGATCATTATTTTTTTGATAAAGATAAAATTTATATCTTTGTTTAAATAATAACATTGAGAAGAACAATACTAAAAAGTTTATAACTAAAACATATTTATCTGGTCTTAATATTAATAATATATTTTCTATGATTGGATGACTAATTAAAAATTTTGTATTTAACCATGGATAGTGATTATAATGTGTTGGTACTACTAATAATAACAAATATTGAATTAAAATAATTGGGGCTAAAAGGGCACTAACATATATAAGTTTTGGTAATTTGCTCTTTTCAATATTTAAACCTATTGCGATAACTATTAAATACAATACACTGACTATATATAATTTCCAGAATAAGGCAAATGCCAATATTAAAAATACAATTTCTAAACCATATAGTTCATAAAGATTTGAAATATACCAAATAATTCTTTCTGATACACTTGTACTATCAATGTTATTGTTGTTATTGTTATTGTTATTGTTATTGTTATTATTATTATCTTGTTGACCTATAATTTCTATTTCATCATTTTGATTATTTTGATCATTTTGTAATAACGATAAATTATCATTTAGTTTATTACTAATTTGTTTCTTTTCTTTTGGTGAAGATTTATTTGATTGACCATACTGTTTATTCCACCAATAAGATGCCTGTTGAATTGAAATTATTAAAATAACAGCCAAGTTAAACCTAACGGAATCCCATGATGGATATTTTGAAAGCTTATTGATATCATCTAAACCAACCCAACCCATAAAAAATGTGGTTGTAGGATCTTTATCGACTAGATTTTGAACTGATGAGGGTAATAAGGCCGCTAATTGAGTAAGTACCCAAAGTTGAGAGTAAAATAATAAAAATGTTCCGATACGATAAGTTCCCTTTTTAAAAGACATACTAACTACAATCATTATCATATAGATGAAATTAAACAAGTTGATATCTTTGATTGCAACCAAAAACACTGCCCACAAGACAACTTTTGGACCATGTAAATAGCATATTTTCTTTAAAACATAGAGGAATTTTTCAAAGAATGGAAAATTATTTGGAGAATAACTAGAGTAGGTTTCTTCTGCTGGTTTTGAAAAGAATACGGTCAATTGGAATACACATACTACTAAAATTGATGAGCTTCCAAATAGCTCGAGGAATCTAGTTTGAGGATGGCTGCTATAGTTTACAAGACCAATGTCATTTAAGCTTATATAACGGCTCTGAGGGAAAGCGGCAATAATCCAATTTGAAATTTGGTCAAACTGATAAACATATCTTGCGATTAAAACAATACCTTGTGTTATAATCATAATAATCCAAAATCTTTTAATATGGGTGGATCCATTTGCAGAAACATGGTGAATTAATAGGCAAAGGAATACAGTGGCCATGTATGCAATATTGATAAGTGAGCTTTGGGTGAAAAGGGATACAATAACTATAACTAAGTAACAGAATGGTAATGATAGTTGTTGGATAGTTGAATAAAGGAATACACCAAAAATTAATAAAAATTTAGGGATATCTTTATGTGGGTCATATTTAACCTCTTGAGGAACTTTTTGTTCAACATTTGATGATGATGATGATGATGGTAAATAAGACTCCTCAATCTCGATGTGGTCATTTTCTTCATATTCAGATTTAATAATTGAAGTAGTGTTTGAAAAAATACCTCTTTGATAAAGCTTATTAACATTCCATTGAATTGTAGTAAAAGTGATAATTACTAAATGCCAAATCAAACCAATCCAAAGTGCTTGATCTTTGAAATTTGTCATACCTATTAATTCTGTAATATAGCTTGCTTTTCCACTTGTCCATGATAGTTGCCAAACATAGAGAGAAAGTAATACCATTTGTGCATAAATAATTAAAAACATCCATAACTTTGAAGCCAATGTTTCACTAATTACAAAAAGAATAAAGAACAACATATAGCCAGCATTTAAAAGGTTAATAGATGTAAGACCACAAAAGAATAAGCCTACCAAAGCCAATCTATAGGATTGACCAATAATCGAAAGAAATGACACCTCAATAATGGCTCTGATTGATCTAAAGAATTGATTTACTGATTGACCATAACGAGATTTTAATTTCTTTAAACTATTATTCATAGAGTCTTTAAACAAAACAACTGATGGAAATGCTATAGCAAAGTTGTCATTAATTTCAATTTGGTTCATCGATGGCGACATTGGAAATCCAATTATAGTTTTATTTGTTTGTTTAAACGAGCCCATACTTGACGTTGATGACATTGCTAGTGATGATTTATTTGCCATTGATAATGGTAATGGTGGTAATGGCTTTCTTGGTCTAACTAAATTTCTTTCATTAGTTGTTGTTGTTGTTGCTTTAGGTGAAGAGAAATTTGGTTTTGGGGAAAATGTTTGTTGATTTGATGATTTTTGATATATTGTTTGTTGTGATTGTTGTTGTGATTGTTGTTGTGATTGTTGTTGTGATTGTTGTGGAACTGAACTGATATTATCTTTTTTGATTATTGATTCATCTTTAATATCACTGTAGAAGCAATATAAACTTAAAGTAAAAGCTACAATCATTTGAATACCAATATATAACCATTTATTTGAATAACGAATTAAACCAATATTATCTGTTAAATCTGTTTCTTGAAAACCAAGTCCGATATTAAAAATATATTGAGCACCCATAAATAATAAATGATAAATTAAAATTAAATAAATCACTTTTTTAAATGCTTTTAACGGTATTAAAGTACAAACTAAACCTGAAAATAATAAAACAGCTGATGCAATGCTTGATTGTAATACAAAGCAAACAACTATAATTTGAGTACAACAAATCTTATTTTAGAAAATAAAAACTATATTAATATTATTTAAATTAAAATATATTTTATAAATTTTATAAATATACTTACAGTCCAACCATGTTTACTAAAAATAATTGCAAGTTTTGTAATATTACTTTTTTGAATTGATACATTTTGAATGATATCATTCATAACACCAAACTTGTGTCTGTATCTTGGTTTAGTTTGAGTAAATAGTTGTTGTTTTCTTGTAATTATACACAATGAAATATAGAGTAATAAAACAGTAATATAACCAACCACGAGTGGCCATTTACTTGAATCCCAATCATTATAGTTTATAAGGCCATACCACGATTGAAAATCTTTATAATATCTATTATAAATATATTGAATTTGATAAAAATAAATTAAAACTAAATGAGATAATGATCCTATTAAAATCAATGGATATATTCTAAATTATAAAGATTAAATTAGTAACTAGCAATTTTTAATATGATATAAACAGTATTAATAAAAAAAAAACTTACTTTAACATAACTTTATGAACTGAAAATCTTGTTGCCAAAGCTAAAACAAAGCCAACAGTAAGTATATAATAAAATCCATTAATAACTGATGGGAAAGAAATTGATGAAATTGAAAGCATTATGAATGCAAATCCTGTTAAACTTCTTGGGGGTGGTTCGTGGATGATTTCATGATGTTGATGATGAATATTTTTATTAGGTAAAGGTGAGTCGATATCTGAATTGATTGGAATATCTATATTAATACAATTTATTTTAGAAATAATATATAGATGGATAATAAATAAAAAAAGCTTTACAAATAAAAAAAAAAATAAAAAATGAAAAATTTATATTTACTATTATTATTTGAATTTTTCTTTTGTGATGCAGGAATAGGAAAAACCAGATTCTTGAACCATAGTATTAATGTAATTAATGAAAATACAAATGCAATAACATCGGGGAGGATATTTATAAATCCATTAAAAGGACTTGAAAATACAACGAATCCAAAATCTTTCCATGCTTCTGGTTTACTTAATTTTAATACATTAACTACAAGATAAATGATTAAACTACTAATTGACAAAAACAATGTAATTATTGGTAAAAATGATGATATTTTATCTGTATAAATAATAAAGTATTAGTATTTTGTTTAATTATTTTTTATTTTTTAGGAAATTTTTTACTTTTAATTGCAAATGATTTGTGAGGTAAAGAAAATATTGATATTAAAAATACTATAAAATAAAAATATGATACAACATTTGCTCTTATAACTGATGAGCAAATCAGTGAAAAAGGATAAAATAATGATACAAAAAAGTAAGCAATCATTTTATCTCTTTTTCTTTTTTTTTTTTTTCTATAAACTATTTGTTTTATTTATTGACAATATTATTGTTAACCATGATAAACTAAAAAAACTGAAAAAAAAAACAAATAGTATTAAAAACAATAATGGTGTAAAGAAGGTGTTACCAGTGTGCAATAATCGAATAAAAAAAAAATAACAAGCATTAAAATATTTTAAAAATTAAAAAAATGAAAAAAAAATAAAAATAATTTTTTTAAAATAAAAATAATTTTTTTTTTTTTTTAAATATTTTATTATAAATAGTTTATTTGTTATATAATTATATCCTGAAAAAATAATAAAATTTTGTGAACTAAATAAGAAATATAAAAAAATTAAAAAAAATATTAATTTAACAATTTATTTTACTAATTTAGTAGTTTTGTTGATTTATTTTCCAAAAAGATATTTTTTTTTTTTTTTTTTTATTTTTTTTTTTTTTTTTGGAAAAATAAAATGATTTTTCATTATTATAATTATTATAAATGTTTTTATCATTATTATAGATATGATCATACATAGAGTAATATTAATATAATAAATAGTGATGATGATAATTATAAATTCAAATAATTTTTGTGTAAATCAAAAAAAAAAGGGTAATCGGGAAAAATAAAAGTCATTGCAAAAAAAAAAAAAAAAAAAAAAAACAATTAAAAAAAAATTAATTTTTTTTTTTTTTATTTATTATTTTTTTTTTTTTTAAACACATTATACAACAATTTTTAAATCCATTTATTTTTAGATTTTAAATTTAAATGAATAATAATTTACAATTTTTTACCCATTATCCAGTTTCAAGACATGACATTGAAATATTAACATGGATTTGTAAAGTCATTTTGTCAACAAGAATGTTTAACTGTGTTGTTAAAACTGATAGTTTTTTTTATAGAGTATTTTGTACTGTTGCATTAGCAATATCAAGTTCTACATTATCAAGTATATTTTTAAATCAATTACCAAAATATATGACAAAATCACACGAGTATCTTTTACCATTAATAATATCATTAAGTATTCTCATGAATTTTATTGTAAGAGTGGCAAGGAATATTAATCGTATGCATCCTAATCAATTATTTAGAGAAGATGGTTTAATAATAAAGGTAATATGGTTTTATAATTTATAATAATAAAGTACATTTAATAACCTTTTTTTTAAAATTAAAACTTGATATAGATTGTATGCTCATTATGTTGTGTTATTTGTGGTATGGATGATGTTTTTTCAATTTATATTAAACCATTACACAGAGCTCAAGAAACCATGGTAGGTTGTTTTGTAATGGGATTTTTATCGGTTAGTTTAGGTACCATTATTTCAAGTATAATAAGAAAAAATAGCACTGGAGCACCAAACATTTTAGAAAAACCAAGTCTGTAAATATTAATAATTGAATTTAAAAAATAAAATAAAAAAATATTAACACCTTTTTCTTTACTTTAGAGATTTTATTGTTATTAATATTATGGTAGCATCATACTACTTTTTAAAAGAATATGGTAGTCAAACTATTACATTATCAAGTGGATTCTACTCTAGAAATTATTTCGTTGATGAAATTTTACTTTTTAGTTTTACAGCAATTTATTCATTAATATTCTTTTTAAATATCGTTAACTCAAGCAAAGGAACAGTTAAATATAATAATAATAATCATAGTAATACTAAAAAACTTAATTAATCTAGCTTTATAATAATAATAATTAATATATATTATATTGTTTATTCAAATAAATAGTTAGAAAATTAAATACAAAAAAAAACCCAAATAAAATTTTTTTTTTAAATAAACCAGTTTTTTTGTTAATCCATTTATTTTAAACTTTATTGGACTCATTATTTTCGATCTATGATTTATATTATAATATGTTTATAAAAAAATAATTTATAGATAAATTTTTTTTTCTATATTAGGAAAAATGGGAATAAAAAAAAAATTCTAAAAAAGAAAATTAATTTAAATTTTATAAAATTAAATAAATAAAATTAAAGACAATATGTCCAGGTATATCTATGCCCAAAAAAAAAAATAAAAAAAAAATAAAAAATAATTTAAATTTTAAAAATAAAAAAAGTAAAAAGATTTTTTAAAAATAAATAAAAATTGTAAAATCCCCCTTTTTCTTTTTTAAATTATTTTAATTTTAATTTTTATAATTTCAAATTAAAATTTTTTTTAAATTTAAATTATTTTAACACACATTTAATTTAAAAAATTTTAAAAAAATTAAAACTAGATCTATTTTGAGGGTAAACTATATAAAGATTTAAAAAATCCATCGTTCTTTGATTTTTTTGTGGTGTTTAACTATTAATTATTGAAAATTTTTACACTTTTTAATTTAAAATTTACCACACTTATCTTTCGTTTATTTATAATATCTTTATTTTTGTTTTTTTATGTCACTGGTAATAAAAAAAAAAAAATTTATTTATTTATTTAATTTTATAAACAAACAAACTATTATTTTAAAATAAATAAATTTTAATAATAATAACAATAACAACAACAATAATAATAATAATAATAATAATAATAGCATTAATATTAATAAATATTTTTTTAATAATAAAATAAAAAAGCAATAAAAATATTTATTATATTTTTTTTTTTATAATTAAAAAAAATAATATTTTAAATAATAATAATATAATTTATTTTTTTAAATATTTATTGATAATAATAATATTTAAAAAAATTTAAATAAAAAAACAAAACAAAAAAAAAAAAGAATGAATGTTAAAAGAACGTAAGTTTGATAATTTATTTATTTATATATATAAAACATTATTAAATCGTGTTTTTTTAAAAAATAATATATTTATTTTATTTTATTTCCATTTCAAATATCTTTTTTTTATTAATTATACTTATATATCCCATTTTTTTTTTTTAGAGTCGAATTGTTTTAATTATTATTTAATTTTATCTCAACTTTCAGTGAATAAAAACAGTGTTTTTTATAGAGCATAGAATATTTTATAAGGTCAATAATTTAATAGATATTTTTTAAAAAATAAAATTTTTATTTCCATAGGTATAAAAGTAAATATTTATTTTAATTTTGTTTTTTTTTAATTTTTTTATTTATTTTTTTTTATAAAAACATATATGTGAAATAAGTAAAATATTTTTTTTATTTTTTTTTCTTTCATTATAATAATAACTTAATAATAAAAATAATAATAATTTTAGTAATAATAATTAATAATATGTCAATATAAATAACGATTTTTTTTATACTAATAATAATAAATTTTTTTTTTATATTTTTTTCAATGGAATTTAATTTAATTATAATAAAAAGTTTTACCAAGGTTTTTAAAACTTTTGGGGGGATAAGCAAAAAGAAAAATAGTATGGAGTGGATATATGGAAAAAATTGGGAAGGTTTAAATATGTTACCATACGAAGGTTTATTAAATGGTTTTTCGTTTTTAGATGGTTGGAAAATTAGTATGTTTTGGAGAAAAATTTGATGTATTTTATTTATTCGAATATTTTTTTTTATTTAATTTTTTTATTAATAGAAAAAGGAATTAAAACCCTTAAGAGGTTGGAAGGGAAAACCTTTCAATAATATAGCATCAGAAGGGTCCTTTGGGGGGAAAGGTTTTCTATCAAACCTAAAATACAAAGGGGAAAAATAACCTCCCAAGAGGATGGCCTTCCGGCAGTGGTTAAAAAAAATTAAATGGAATGGTCTATGGGGGGCCTTTTCCCGAAAGGCCCCCCTTTTTTAA